TGAGCCTGATAGAATTTTGAGAGTCAATGTATTGTATTATATAGGTTTTAAATATTTTAAATTGGTAATTATTGTAATTTTTAATGCTTTTTAAGTCATTTGTAAATGATATATGTTGCTTCCTTGATTGAGACTTTTCCATTTGTGACGTATATATATATAGATATTTGGTGCCCGTGTTAATTTTTTTTGTTTTAATTTATGTGATATAAATGGAATTTGAAGATCAGTCGATTTTTTATATGTTTTCTTAAAAATATATTTGAAGTTATTAAATTGTTGTGATTTATAGTATTTTTGCGTTAGTTTTGAATAATATAGGTTACTCATGTTTCAATTCACGTGAATAATCATAAATATTTTCAGTTGTTAATTTATTGTGTATTCTAGAAATTTTGACGTTATTTTCAAATAGTACATGTTACTTATTCTATTCCAATTAGTCAACCAAATTTCTTATATGATTTAAAAATATTTTTAATTGCTAATTATTGTGATTTATAGCATTTTTTATGTAACTTTTAATAATATATAATTTGTTCAAATTCATATGACAATGATAAGATTTCAAGAGTCAACGCAATAAAAATTTAAATTTTTTAAAAAGTTGTACCTCTAATATATTTTGTAGCTAAAATATACTCTCTCCGTCCACTTGTATTTGTCATGTTGCGCTTTTTGAAAGTTCATTTGACTAATTTTCAAAGTTAAATCATATTGTATTAATTCGATATTTAAAAAAAAAAATTAAATATGCAAAATCTATACAAAAGACTATAAATTGTAATTTTTTGCTTATGAATATGATGAAAAAACACATTATAAAATATTAGTTAAAATTCTTATAGTTTGACTCTAAAAAGGAAATCATAACAATTAAAAGTGCATAGAGAGAGTAATAAATAGGTAATTAAATTTCAAGAAGTTTAAAATAAAAGGTTGGAAAAAAGAATTAGATAGACAACATATATTGAAAATTGAAAACATATAAATAATAAATGGGCCCAAATGAGGTCAAACTTTTTGGCTAATAAAGTAGTAAGTAATTAATGATGTTAAATTGTCCAATAATATAAATTTTAAAGGTGCAACCATAAAAGAAGAATGTACAACACTATCAAGCACATATCATCCAACACTTGTCATGTGCTAAGTAATAGATAAAAATTGTTACTTTTATGAAAAATTGTGACGTTTATGAAAGGTTGTGACCTTTTCGAAGGGTTGAAACTTTTCCAAATAGTTGTAACCTTTCTGATAAGGCATAATAAATATTTGTTCACACTACCCTTTATTGTCTATAAATAGAGGGATTTCCTCTCATTTTAAAACAACGAAAATTCTGAATCTCTTCTTCTTCTTCTTCACAATTAAATATTTGTGTATTTTGCTACTGTTGAGTGGTTCACTGACACCATTGCTTATGTTAAAAATCTTGGTATATATTTTTACCGTCATTAATTTATGTTTATGTTGACACCATTGCTTATGTTAAAGATCTTGCTCTATTTTGATTTATTTACGCAAGTACCTTCATCGTCCGCCCCACGTAACTGATTTCGTAGTATTGGGGTACTCAACACTTATGTAAAGTAAAGCATAGAATGACAAAAATAATCCTTAAATTGAGTGTATTTTCACGTAAGCAACGTGTTGACAGAGAAGAGTGTGCTTATTCGCTCTTCTTATATAGTAAAATATAGATAGATTTTCAATTACAATCTTTTATTTTTCCGCCCACCCCTACCCCCCTCATCAGCCCTCCACCCCCTAAAAAAAAATTAAGTTTATTTTTAAAAAATATTTTCAATTTTCAATTTTTATCTTTTTACCCCATCTCATCCCTACCCCCTGCGCCAGC